AAAAAAATATAAAGGTGTGTGTAATCATAACTGTGGTGCTGAAAAGTGGAATGATAAGGACAATTCCTAATCCAAATGGTATTTTGCTGAAATTTGAAGAAATTCGTTTAAGATTGCACTCCAGTTTTGTTAGACAGTGTACTGTATCCATGTGCTGAGGACAACACTAAATACTAAGCTGATCATTGCAGATGCTTTGAATGAAATTAAGAGAAGATGGGCCCATTATTCAGCTCAGTCCTATAGTCTGAAGCTATGAATTGCAGATTGGATGGCTTATAAGAGAGCATCATTCATTGATACATTCACTCATTCCATGAGCATGCATCCAGCTCCCCTCAGTGCCAGGCACAGTGCTAGATATTGAGGTTGCAGGTAAACAGAGCAAAGATCTTATAACTAAATAAATAAAGCAACTGGAGAGTTGATCATTGAGACAGTGGCCAGGAGGGAACTCTGCAGGGTATTATGAAGTGGTGACTTAGATTAGATGGACAGAATGAATAGCAACAGCCCCAGCAGGGAGGGGAGACAGTTGAAAGTTTATGATCATAGGGCAGATGGAAGGCCACTATGACTTGGGCTGTGCGGGTGATTCTGACTTTGTACTTCAGAACACACTGGACAATGTCTACAGACATTTTTGGTTATCACAAGGAGGGAGGAGGGACTACTGACATCTAGTGGATCAAGGACAGGGAAGTTGCTAAATATCCAACAATGCACAGGACAGCCTCCACAACAAAGAATTTCTTGTACAAAATGTCAAAAGTTTTGAGGTTAAGAAGCACCAGGTTGCAATGACATCAGTAGAGCTACAGAAAAGAAAATAGATTAAAGACATATTGTTGATGTTAAAAATAGTGTCTGAAAATAAAAATTATATATATATATATATATATATATATATGGAAGGAGGAAAGCAAAGGAGAAATCAAAACCGATCTCCAGTTTTAATAGCTGGATAGAAGGTGATGTTCATACTGAAATGAGTTTGAGATGCTGTGTCAGTTAGAAATGGTAATTAGAGTCAGCTGCATGAATTTGGAGTTTAGAGGCAAGATTTGAGCAAAGAATTTGGGGATCCAATACATGACATCACCTAGCCAAAAAAAAAAATGTATAAAGATGCAGCCAAGAAATCAGGATTTTAATCTTAAATCAATGACACATTCCCAGTAGTCTCTAAAAGCCACTTGATCTTTTGCTTTCAGTGTTCTGAGTAACATTAAAAGTGTACTCAAGTATTCTCACATTTTGAAAACATAGTTGTAACACTGGAGTTCCTTAACTTACTGTAAGCTATTTTTCTTTGTATCTAGTTATTTTCTAGAAATTAAGTAATTTTAAATGGATTAGTGTCTAAGTAATGCCAACAGCTCTCATGGGAGCACAAAGCTACATGCTACTGTGTTGCTTTATTATTAACCAGGGTATATGAATTTAAGCTTGAAATGTATGGAATGGGGAAATGGTAGTGTGCATTCAGTTGGGCATTTTTATTCTTGAGAGTACTATGAAATATTGTGAATCAAGAATGATTACCATCGTTGTTTCTGATAAAAAATAACAGGATTCATATATCCACAAAATACAGTTCTGGTGAAGAGCACAAAACAAATTAGCAGCAGCTGATGATCACTCAACAGTAACTCAACACCCTGAGCCTCTGCACATGAGCAGCGAACAGAGTCATTTGAACAAGGAAATAAATTTTTAGTTTTAAGCTTTATGGAATTCTATAGATGGTAGAGAAAAGTAACTTAAGCATGCCACTTATTCTTTAAGAAACTTTGTTTAGGAAATACAATCTCTCCATCTCTAATAACTGAAAAGAACTGTTTACTCATAGCCTGAAGTTGTACAGCCAAAAAGTGGTAGAATTTTCTTAAATAGTAGTGAATCAATTGAACCAACTTACTGTTACCATACCATTAATTGGACTAGTATGGTCCACTCATTTCCAACTAAACAGAATAATTTAGTCTATACCATTTGGGGCCTATTTAAAATAAAAGGTAAGGAAGCACAGCAAAATAGAATAGTCATTATTATTGCTGTATGTATATATGTGACTGCATGACCAATGTAATTCTGCAACCTGTACACTCAGAAAAATGAGAAATTATACCCCATCTGATTCAAATGTATGATACGATAAGATCATTGTACTGTTATATGCGACTAATTAAAACAAAAAAATAAAATAAAATAGAAGGTAAGCATAGATTTATTTAACCAAAAATATAATTAAAACAAATTGATATATACTGAGAAATAAGGACCTCTGAAAGTATTACATATGGAGTAGTTAAAATGTTCCTACAATAGACTTACTGTATTATTATTATTCTCATTTTACAAATGAATATATAAAATCCTGGAGAGTTTATAGTCAGTATACATTAGGTTAAGCTGTAGTAACAAATATTTCAAAATTATAATGGATGAAAACATAAAATTGAGCTACCACTGATTTATCAATAGTTTTCTATTGATCTGACAACTACTCAGAGGAACTTCCCTGCAAAATGTAAATCAAAGATCCAGGTTGTTTCCACCTGAATCTCTAGAACTCATAGTTTTCAGAGTTCCTCTAGCGGGAGAACAGAGTCTGAAAGTCTGCACAGGATCTTTTCATTGCCTTCTTTTCACATGCAAGTTATATATACCGCTTTCACACACATATTTTAGTGGCTAAAAATAGCCACATGATTTTACCTAAATGAATGGTACAGGTTTTCATATGCCAGGGAAGGGGAGAACTGGATGGGGTAAGCACCAGCAATCTACTACAATAAGATAGAGCACTTTAAACAAAGGTGAAAAATTAGAAGTGGTTCAAACCAGGATTAAAAATACCATGTGCTTAGAAGATGATTTTACTGTAGACCTTGGATTCTTAAGGTCTAGTTTTGCAATATCTTCTATTTATTGACCTTGAACGTACCAAGAAAGAAATAGATGACTACATGTGCTTAATGTGCACAAATCTTTAGGCTTAAAAATAAACCTTCTAATAATTTCTACATTTATTCTTGATTTAAGAAAGACCAATCACTTGTAAACTACCCATTTGTTGAGTTTTGAAATACTGATTTTTGTACAAGAGCATCTCAAACTCCTGAATGAGGATTTTTTTCCTTTACTTCATGCCCCTTTAATATCATTTTGAAAACACATCACACTTCTTTAATGCCCATAAGTATCAGGATAGCACCAGCTCTATCCCTGCTGTGTCTTTAGGTCTTGGCACAATGCCTCACAGGAAGGAAGACCCCCAATAAATATGCATTCAATAAATGAATGAGTGAATAAATAAATGGGGAGTTTGCTGAAGCAGATCATCCCATTTTTGATGTCCTTAGAATTGATCCCCAAATAAATGAAATTTATTCTTCTTCAATTCCATACAACATTCTGATTTTCTTTTTCTTTTTTTTCCCCTTTGGTGCTGGGGATCAAACCCAGAGCCTCATGAATGCAAGTACTTGAACAAGCTGCACGTCAGCCCTGTTATTTCTTCTCATTTAACTGACATTGAGTAAAGCTGCTTTCTTTTAGCACAGGATCTCTTCCGATTTCTGAAGTTAGCTAGCATATGCTCTTAATTCCTGATTTCCTCTTTCCATGCATAAAATGCACCCCTAAACCCACAAAAATCACTCTTCTTATCTAAGGTAGTATTATATGTTGTCAACTCTCATCCTGAGGTGTCCAGAACTAGGTATGCTACTTGAGGTGTGAACTAACCAATTAACTAGCTTCCTGCAAAAAGATTCTAACCTCCCTTAGAACATAGAGGTGCATTAATCCCATTACAAGGCCTTTGGGAAAAAGCAGAATGTCTGACACCACATACAAAAAGGAATGAATGAAAGAATGAATACTTTCTTTCTTTTTCTTTTTTTCTTCTCCATTTTTTTTAATCAGGGATTGAACCTGGGGCTTATTGGGGCCATTTTAAAAAAATTATTTATTTTTAAATTTTGAGACAGTGTCTCAATACATTGTGGAGGGCCTCCCTACATTGCTGAGGCTGGCTTTGAATTTGTAATCCTCCTGCCTCAGCCTCTAGAGTCCCCCGGATTACAGCCGTGAGCCACCGCTACCAGAGGAATGAACAGATTTTAAGATAGAACTCTTTCATAATTATTTCCTATCTAGGATCATGTAACTGTGGACGTTCTTGTGAATCAACTCAGTTTAGATCACTTCTCCAAAAAATTCTTAAGTAGAAAAAGAAATAGATCTCTATGAGATGTTAATACAGAACTAGCAAACATTTATATAGAACATATTCCCCACAAAGCTCAAAGGAAATTAAGGCAAAATGATCAAATGCTGATTTCCCCAGGGAGGTGTCCTTGTCCTTCCACAGAGAAATAGTCTCCAAACCTACATTGTTAAAATAGCTTATTTCCAGTGTTCAAATGTGACAGTCAAAAGAAATTAAGAAAAGCAGTGGCGCTGGAAGCTGCCTCTTTCCCAGTTCTGCACTTATAAATGGAAGCAATTTAGGAGACATTATCTCAGGTCCAAACAGGAAAGGAGCCACTACAATCTTAGAGTACTAAAGGGTTCCCATCTCTGTCCTCCTCCTTCTCCTCCTCTTAGTCTTCATTCTTATAAGAGTTAAAACGGGATCTCGGATCATTTTCTGAAATACTGCCCTCGGAGACCGCAATTTTCCATCAAGTGATGGAACGAATCGTAGCTGGCCATTTCTAGGACCCCCCAACAGGCGCACAGGGACAGCACCGCCACTCACAGAGAACGGAGGAGGCTGCCTCTGTTCAGACCCATAGGTTGGATTTGATCTGTCTTGAGGACTCAACACTCAATCGACTTTCCCGGCAGCACATCACAAAGTTGAAGGAGAGAAAGAATAAGCGTGCGTGTGCGAGCGTGTGAGTGTGTCTGGATCCGTGGGGTTGGGGCGGGCAGTAAATAAAGGGTGGGGCCAACGAGGGGAGGAGAGAAGCAAGGATTGAAAGAAGCCAGAGCGTGGATCGGATCCCAGTTAACCTGCTGGAGCTCCTCAGGCTTGCTCAGAGACCCTGCACCAACTCACCCAGTCCCCTCCTTCTTGGTTCGCCGTTCCCCCCTTCCTCTCCTTCACTGATTGCACCCTCCACCAATCCACCCCCTCCCACTTTTGCATCTGACCAGAGGACGAATGAGGGAGACGTTCCCGCAGATTGGGGCAGCAACTTTACTCAGCTGGTCTCTGGGCTCAGGCAGCAGGAGCGCGCTGATCCTCCGCGGTCTGCGGCCCAGGGAGGAGGAGGAGCAGCAGTGATGGGCTAGCGACAGGAGCCAGGAGCCCCGAGTGAGCTCAGCCTTGCCATCCAGCTCCGCGTTCCCACGCCGGTTCCCTCCATCCCGCTCCGTGGGAGAGTGGTCAGGGTGCAGACCCGGAGCATCCAGGGAGGATGAGGCGGGGACCTGGCCCGAGTGGGGTGCATCTCGCGGGCGTGCGGCAGCGGCTGTGTTTGGGCATGAATTAAGAAGCTAGGAAGATGGAGCGCCGCACACTCATCGCCCAGCCCGGGCTCTGGACCAGAGACACCAGCTGGGCACTCCTCTATTTCCTGTGTTACATCCTCCCCCAGACCGCCCCGCAAGTACTCAGGATCGGTGAGTGAGCCCGGAAAAGCGCTCCGGGATGCGGGCTTTGGGGATGTGGTCGCTCCGCTCGGTCAGTGGGGGCACAGCGGGTCCCGGGCGAGGCGGCGCGCGCCGGCGCAGGGGCAGGTGCTGGGGTAGTGGCGGTCAGTACGCGCGGAAGGCTTTCACGAAAAAGGGGGAGTCGCGTCAGTACTTCCCTTCTGGCGGGTGCCAGGCTTCCCAGAGAGGTACGGTTGGCGGGTTTTTCAATCGAGGCTCCAAGAACGCGGGCAATAGTGCGGGGATCCAGGCTCTTCAGGGCTGGCACTTTACTCGGGGCGTGAGGTTGTGCCCAGCTGCTGCTGCTTGAGTTATATGCCAGGATGAGATCTTCCAACCGCCTGAGTGGACGTCCACCAGTCCAAATCCACATCCCTGGTCCCTAGCAGTCTGGCTTCTGCGGCTCCCATGCATGCCAGGTTCTCAGGAGTAGAATACTCAGACCCTAGGGACGTGGGGATATCCCGGAGACAGCTAGCCCAGAGCCTCCAAGTTTTCCAGTATGAGTAGGGTTCTTCTACGTGGAGCCTGCAAAGTCCAGAGGGTTGCAGTGAAGTAGGGCCGAGTACCAGTCTGACTTCTGACTCCAAGAAGTGGAGAGAAGGGTCCCCCATTGCACTTAAGTTTCCCCTTGCTCCCAATCTACTCTGCCTACCAGCCACGGGAGATGATCCAATCTCCAGTCCAGGTAATGCCCTGCAAGATTTTGAGCTTTAATCTCAATAGGTGAAAAAATGTAGAGAGATGCTGAATGCAGAAATCCTGGGGCAGCCCAAAGAGTGCAAAAGACAAGGAAGACCCACACAGGGCATGGACTCAGGTATCAAAGGACACAGCACCCACCACCACGATTTAGTCTATGGGCTCCTGGGGTTGGCAAAGCTCTTCGTCTTTCCTTCCTTTCAAACTTACCCAGTTTCACTATTTTCAGTCTCCGTGTCCTCCTCATTCCCCTGCTAATCTTTTTAAGAGAGACAGTCGCAGGGGCAGCCACAGGTGAAGCGCTGACTGATACCATAAAGATCACTCAGTTCTCCTACTCAGGCAGAAAAGACCAAATCCCTAATATTTGAGGGTTTCTATCTTATACCTCTTTCAAGAAACTGAAAGAGTATGAAGGGAGAGGAATTCACTCCCATAGTGACCCCTTGAGAAACTGGAATTTCTCAATAATTCTACTTGTCCTGACCTTCATTCAACTAGCTGTCTCTTAAAAAAAAAAAAACAAGAATTTTGTCATAACAGTTTAGTGATTTGAACTGCATTTTCTCCAGGTATATAGGGTCTAATTTTCAAGGAAAAAAGAGGTCCCAAATACTAACTTTTGCTACAGACTTACCTGTTCTAGACTGGACAGTAGGGTAGCAAAACTCTACTAATAGAGTTTTCCAAGTATTTTTTTTACAACAAATCATCACTACTTATAACTAAAATATCATTTACCTGAAATATGCAATAGGCTTTATAGTCTGGTTTTTGGATGGAATGAATAGTGATTGGACTAGTAAAAAAAAATTGTAAACTATGCAAAATAAGTAATGAATATGTGTTAAAATTTCCAATGTTTATTAACTTAATTGGTACTTTTCTTGTGTATTATTCATTTTTGAAAAAGATAAATATAGAGATGTTAGGAATGGCTGTACTAGTCAATATCCCTCCTGAACAACAACCTTAAGGTAGGATTTTCCTTTCTTATATCCCCCAAACCTAAATTAGATCAATAAAGGGGAATAGAAGAGAATGTTTTAAGACCTATTTGTTCTCAGATCTAAATTTTTATCCAAGCTCCAAGCAATCACAATCAACCTTTGAAAAGTAGTTTTCAAAGTGAAAACAACCAATATTATTAACTGAACTTAAACTATATGCCACAAGATAATGAGATTTCCTTTTCTAAATGAGATCTAAAATGTACAAAGTAAAATTGCATGCTCTAGTGTTGTTTATATGCAGTACAAATGCCTCACTGTATTGACCCTGTGTGACCTGTGGTTGGCATGGGCACCGCCATCCTGTATGTACCTAAGGACCAGCACACACTTTTTAAATGGATAATTCAGTGTCATGGAAACCAGCTTTAGCTCAGAGAAAACCTGCCTTCTACAGTGAGTTTCTTGTATCAGTCAATTCCAACAGTGAAAACAAAATATCAAAGGAGTTAGGGACAAGCAAAAGTGTGTGTGTGTGTGTGTGTGCGCGCGCGTGTGCATGTAGAGAATTAAATTGCACTTCTTTTACATTTCTTATTCTTTCCCTTCCCAACAAACCACCAATTATCCAACTAACCAAAAAAGGGACTCTTGATTATTAACTTGCATATTTTATCAGTAACTTAAAATATCCAGAAATCAAGCAAAGCATAAACAGTAGGTGCTAAGTATTATCCTTACATGGAGAAGGCACTCAAATTCTTGAATGGATCACTGGTCTACTGTTCTTGCAAAAGAGTCTGCTTAAACTTCATCTAGTAAGGCAATATGCAAATTTTAAGATAGAATTTATGTATGCCAAATATGTGAAAGTTGGTTGGGAATGCATATGCTTAAGTTTAGCACTATTGTGAACATACATGGAATAAGATATTATTGTGGTCTTGTGCAACAGTTAAGAGCTATAGAGGGTCCTGAAGAGCTGTAGTGCCTAAACAACAGTACTGCACTGGAGAATTTTCCAAGCAGGTTGCATGGTAGAGAAATAGAGCCACAGCTGGAAATCTGGGGGGGGGGGCTGCTGGGTTATTCCTGCCTCCTTGTATACATCAGTTTATGTCAACAACCAGTTAACTGTCACACATGTTTAATTGTACTGTGAGGTCCACTATCACAGAGATCCCCCTAAAAGACCAATCAATTTGTCACTAAAAGAGCAGAATATGGATAATATTAGTAGAAATGGTAGCCCATTACCATTAATAGAGGTAGAAAGAAGTCGCTCTGTGTACATATGCAACTTCTAGTGCAGAAATGTCGTATTTATAATAATAGCAGAAAAATATGTTCAATAGTATGTTTTATGCATCATCTCAGCAAAATAAATAATAAGAGCTTTGTAATGTTTTGAACAACCAATAAAAAAAATGAGCATAGAATTGAGTTAACTGAAGGGTAGCCAGGTTTTTGACACATGATTTGTATAAGACAAGTAGGCTTGGGTCTCATTGCTATGATTTGCTGGTATATGTCTCAGACTTATTCAATATCAGTAGGCCTTTTGTTTTTACCTCCAAGAACTCAACTCAAACTATTTTTTATTAATTATAAAATTATTATGATTAGTGAAAATTAATAGAAATGGTACATGAAGTAGAATGTGAAGGGTCTTTGAAGGGTATCCACATACATTAGTTGAACTATAGTTGTTAATTTTTACTGTTAGTATTTATTACTGTCATTTTCTTTCTGAACAGGGATTTACAAGCTGGTGTGGTATGTCTTTGTAAGACACTTAATATTTCTGAGCCTTAATCTCTTCATCTTTGAACTATCAGTATTGCTGCCTGCTTTTCTGTTTCAAAGAAGAGGGTCAAAGACATTACTTTTGTAATTAAAAAAAAGAAACCATTAAATAAATAGTAACTAAATTCTCCATATAAAGAGAACTGTTGTAGAAATGTATATGCACAGTGTCAATGTAACTGTTCAAATGATTTCATTTCCTTTGGAGAGGCCCAAATTTATTTGAGTCAATCATTATTTTGGTTATGACATCATATTTCAGTTTTTAACCCAGAGATGCCCAAAGTCCTAAATAAGTTTATATTTGCTCATATTTTTCTTGAGTATACAAAGACCTGTGACTTTTATCCTCTGAGCTCTCGATTATTTCATAATTTTAATACCCATTCTTCATTCAACAAATATCCATAGATTTTTTACTCCTCCATCATGAGCCAGACACGGTTCTAGGTGTAAGATATACAACCAAGAGCAGAAGGACCTTAAACGTCTGTTCCCTTGAAGCCTGTGTTCTGGTGATTTACAATTTATGGTACCACTGAAGTTTTTCATCAGACCTTAGATGCAGACACTTTAATTTTTTTTCCAAATATCATTTTTGAAGAGTGTTGAGTTAATTATCTGCTACCAATTCCTCATGTCAATTGCATCATCAACAAATAGTAAGTTCAGGCCCTCCCATGTATAGAGTACAGACAGTAAGAGTTCACACTGCCAAATCATGAGCAGGAATTCAGAGGAGAGTTGCTTTCATTTAGGAAAATCTGTCTGGGTTGAAGGCCATAACCTCCGTGGGAGAGACATGTTTATGCCTTGGGAAGCATGGTGGTCCTCATATTGACTTAAAAACCTCAACTCTCCCGTGAAGGACATGCAAAGGTATGTGATAATGTATAGTGCTTGGCCAGCATTAATGCATTTCTATAAATGGACAGGTCATTTTCCTTGCTATTTTATCAGCGTCATTCATCTTTGAGTTAATATTGGTTTTGCAGGCCTGATGTTAACACTACATAGATCTTACCTTCAGCTACCTTTCTTGTATGATTTGTGATCTATTGTTTCCATTGAAAAGAACATAATTTGCTATCTTTTCCCAAGTTCAAACACTTGTTGAAATGCAGGAACTTGAAGCTAGCTATTCTGATCTCATGTTTTAAAACTCCTTCATTGAATGGTGCTGTGTGGTTTATGGGTTTGTGTATGCCCTTAGATAGCTGTGTACACTATAACCTGGAATCAAATATAAGAAATTAGGTGTTGCTTTTAGTTATGCAGGGATAACTAAATGACTGAAAGTGAATACAGTTTATATTTGAGACCATTAGCATCAAATAAAAGTTGCTACCACCAGCAGACTATCTAGAATTTCTCTTTAGAAGGATTCAAGAAAAACAATCAAGTAGGAGAGGAAACCTTGCTACCTGCTCCTAGAAAACATACTATTTTCAGTTAGATTGGACAAGTAGTTGGAATGGTTTTAAGAAAGACTGAAGGAGATAGGTGTGTTGA